AAACCAAACGTTTATTATAATGAATTAAATATTTTCGTTATAATAATTCGATATATCTTTTTGGAATATATTATCGTATTCAGTTTATTTTTTATTTATATTAATAATGTTCCAAGTAATAAATACTTCCCGGTAAATCTTTGTTTTAATAAGCCAGTAGCTTTTTTTTAAACTTAACCGTAACACATACTTTTAATTTTTAATGAATTCGTAATGTTAAATTTATAACTTAGAAAAAAAGGCGTTCAACAATAAATTATATACGTAATATTTCTTTTAAAATAAGCATCGAATCCGTTGAAATCGTATGTGATAATCATGTTAAATTATTAAATCAATAAAGTTCTCCAAAGCTTCTTAACGTATATGTGTAAAGGTAAATAAATAGCTGATAATTCGCGCGTGTAAAGATCTTTTTACAAAGTTAATCGACTTTTGAAACGTTTAAAAATGAGTTAAAATTAAAAGCTACATTTATATATAACTTTAATTGTTAATTTTATTATTTACAACCGTAAAGTTCTTTTAATATTAATGGTTTGGTAATATTTATAGCAAATGTGAAATGGTGGAAAGAAGTCAGATGTCGTCTGTTGTAGATACTACGCTAGCAGGGGGGACTCGGGATGTATTTGCCCAGTGTATACGGTATCACACCTGAAGGCATTAATTGGCATCATCGCGGGTCAGCACTCGGTATAGGTTGCGATGTTGCGTCGCGACCTCTCGCCTCGGCCGTCACTCTGGACTTGGGACGCGGCACAGTGGCCGAACGGGAAGCCTTCGCGTCGTAAGCTCGTGTCGCCCTCGCACCACGAGAGGCAGGTTAATATATCGCTTCATGGCTTGAGGCCGCGCCGTACATACGGGCGGGCGATAGGTGACGCAGGTACATAGCACGCTTGGGAGGCCGCCCGTTACTCACGTCAGCACCTACTCCAAACAGTAATACGCACAGCCGTTTCTCAATCAGCAGAATTTTGGTCAGCGCGGGACTGCCAACACGTCAAACTCGGGATGCCGATCCACTCTAGTAAAAATCTGCTGATAATACAAGTGTTATTGACGGCGGCGTTATCGATAGAGTCGTCCGGAAGACTGGAACCGTGGAACGGCAACCAGGCGCAGGATCCGCAGATCCCTGGGATCATATCGAGAGGTTCGCTATTGGCTTATTGCTGTCTGTGGAGAGCCTAGATTTCTGCACGGACATTCGAAAGAGGCAGGCGTTCCGTGGGTTGACTGCCAAGGTACCGTAACAGAATGACATAGACGCATCACCGGAGCAGAACTAAGGTCTAGGTCGACTGTCGTCGAGTTGCGATTTGACAGCCAGCTTGGTTTCGGCTCCAAAACATGCGGCTTACTTTTACTTTTCAGTCTCGATGGCACGGTAGCACCAGCTATTGCGAGGCTTGTTAATAATAAACAAGGAGGGAATCTCATCTCACGTTACCAGTCACCTGTGAGGGTCACGTGTGACCTGGGAATGGTAGCACGGATCGGCTCTGAATAGATCTGTCCGAGGGTCTCTCGGATCTGATCGTCGGGACCACTTGTGTCGTTGCAGCCTCTGACAAGGCAAAACGCCGATGAAGTGCAGCCGTGGGCCGTGGATCGCGAGGAGGACGTCTTTCGGCACGCGGAGATTGGCAGGTCATCATCACTCACACTCCGAGATCGTGACCTCGTATTGTCTGGCTAGAAGGGCACTAGAAGCGCGCCAGAAGGCTTTTAAGGACCCCTATCATCCATCGCCTATAATAGTGCCCGACTGCGCACTAGAATGGCATGTGGAAAACACACCAAGTGGAATGAGCCAGCGACGGTCGAGTCTCGACGGCTTTAATGGCGGCCGCGCGTCGTCGTAGAAAACGTCGGCTGTCACGTCCCGATGTATGACGGCCTGCACTTGTGTACTGGCCTATTGGTGACGAACTTCCTGTCAGGGGCAGCCTTGGTGGTTTGCTGTTGTGATTCCAGAGTCTCCCAAGCTGTCTGCCTGGGCCTGGCAGCCAACATTGAAGTTGAGGTTGGAAGTTGGCAGCAACTTGTGGGTCTTGGACGAGGAAAGTCCAATCAGGAATCGCCAGCGGATCTGTGATCTGGCATCTCGTAGCTCCACTGTTCGGCGGGGCGGTGCAGCCTGTGGGTCCGTGGAAGTCAGGACAGGACTCAGGGGTCGAGTCTGTAACAGATTCTGAGACAGCGCAGACGCAGGGGCAGCAGTGCATCAGGCCAATCACGGCCTCATCTCCCCACCACTGGCCCACCCCCTGCCCACCCCCTGCCCAAACCCTGCCCACACCCCTAAATTCAAGTTGGACAAGATCAAACGCGCTCCACGACACCTCGTCCACCCTTTTTGCGCCCACCTCGACGACCGCACCACGCGCCATGGACCGAGGCCCAACTTCCAAGCAGAGGAAGCAGACGAGACGAGAGCGCAAATAGACGACAACGTCCCGCGAGTCTAGACCTGACGAGTCTAGTCCCCGAACTCTTATACGCCGGACCAACATACTACCTGCCTCTCTACCGACGCCAATGACGGACGCCAGGAACCAGTGACCACCGTCTGTCCAATGTCCACGCAAGGTATAGCACTGCCTCTCGGTTATACCCCCCTCGACTGGGCGCCGGTTTCATCTGAAAGCCCAGCCCGGGGCATCTCACGATGCTAGAGGTCCAACGGCTGCCAGTGAGCCAGTCTGCCACGCTCCCACCACGCGGACGTCCTTTTCATCTGCGTTCCTCCGCCGCTCCAACGCCGAATTCCGCTTAGCCATTGCCTGCTTTCGACACCCCATTCGTCCACATCGCGACTCCCGAGGTCACCACGCATTCCCCTCCTCGCAGATACTTCCGTCGAACCACTCCACCATCGTCCCACTGCCTCAGCCTCACATCAGAGCACGACCCAGGCACGCCAAAGTACACTACAGCAGCTGCATACCATATACCAGACGGCTAAACTCGCGAAGCCTTCCTTGCCGTCTCGTCTCTATTATAGACCAGCAGCAGCTTCTAACTGCTCAGATGCACGTCTCCTGGCACACCGACCAATCTCACCTACATCAACCCCGTTCGTCAAGTTCATTGGTGATGGTTCGCCGCCCAGAACCAGCAGGGTGCATCCATTGTGCGTCATTCCAACTATCTAGACAACCGTCTGTGCCCTTGCGCCGTTTGAAAGTCTTCCAGAAACTAGCAAGTGGACGAGAAGCACTCTCCCTCGAGCCAAGTGGCAGAACCCGCCCATGTCTGACGTTGTGCGGTCAAACGAGCGATCCATGATCACCGCGCTACCTGAGACGGGCTTTTGAGGACGCCTGTCAGCTCATCGTGTGTCCTGTGTTTTGCCCGTGACGACTGCCCTACAAGGCCCTGGAGGTGCGTCTAACCTGCCCCTCGTAAGTAACAGGATGTTACGCTCTTCGGAAACCTGTCTTCTCCAGATCGACGTAACCGGCCGACCAAGTGTCGTGGTTGTGTCATACAGGCCTGTGAATGGGGCTCTTGTCTAAACCAATCTTGGTACTAACCCTCCACGTTGCTGGCGGCTCTTGAAGCTCGATATTCGCCGGAGCTTGTCATACTCTCTTTGCCTTTGCGAGTGTAACAGACCTCGATGTCTGTGAAACCCATGGCTGTAGACCTTATTTGCCCCCACCCAAAAGACTCGACCTGAGACAAGCCACCTCGGTATAGTCAATCTGCGCTGGTCAATTGGTGACACTTCAAATCGGCGGCACTTCATCTTTCTTGCTGAACAGCCTTCTTTAAGGTACCATGTTTGAATGGGACTCCCCTTCCGCTCGATATCAAATTGGGTCCCGGCCTGTTACGTCCCTTACCCTTGCCCGACTATTCCAAAATAGTCGGGTTCCCATGGGTCTATTTTCGAACTAGGGCAGTCCCTGTTAATCAGTCGATTTCTGGCTGCTTCAGTGCTTCTGACATCGTCGTACCGATCTCCATCAGCATCCAGCCCTCTCTGTCGCTCGCTCCCCCATACCTTGACCTCCACCACCCTGCCTGCCTCGGAGGCTTGACCCTTCGCACGCACCACATCATCGAAGAACAGATGTAACCTTCCGAATCCCTGTAGCGCAAATCCCCGCCGGCCTGCTTGTCCTTGTCTGTCCTGCCTAGTCGGCCTCTCTCCAGCACGCCTAGCAACAACCTCGCACACCAATATCTCCTCCCAAGCTCCTAGGTATCGCCAGGTTTGTATCAGGGAATCCGGCTTAGCTCCTACCGATGTTCCGAACCTGACCCAGCTTGTGCGTGCTGGATTGATTGAGCAGACCATGGATGATGCCTATTCCTACACAGTACTTATCTTATACCTCTAGGGTCCTGCACCGCCCCTCCGCTATCCTACTCTTTTACTCCTTCTCTCGCCTTGTCCACCTCCACATGCCATAGACCGAGGAGGTATTCCACAACCAGTCGCTCCTTTTGCCCTCCAGTTTTTAACATCGTTTGTTATAACCCCTCTGGTCTATAATACTGGGAGCTGGCTCTCTCCCCACGGATGTGCCAGTCTGTCTAGTGACCAAAACTGAACGAGTTGCTCTTCGACAGCTCACCACGCTCCTTACACGCACGCACACTTAACTCGAAACCCAACACTGCCATATCGGCATACACACTCTCTTTGTTCTCGAGAGGCAACCGCCTTCATTATCGCCTCAGAGAACCAAACTATACGCATTCTTTACCGGCCCCGCGCCCTTTAACATCGCCGGAGATTAATGACGGCTTGAATTGACCATAGCCCAAGCTATTAATACCACCATGTAAGTCACGAGAAGATCGCCTAGCCATGTTCCATAACGCGCTTTGGCTACGTGGACTTTGCGGCCCCGCCGCCCGTTCTATCAACCGGCTCGCCCGATGACCATGTCGTCCCGCTCATGGCTAACGCTCGTGTCTCCTATTCAGCATTCGGCCTGTAATACATTAAACCACACTCATTCCCTTGTCTGAGATCCATGGTCATGGACTCGAACCAGGCTCAACTGTATGCACAACCTAAACGCACATATATCTCATGAGGCTCACACAACCCTAGGCGGCAACATATACACACACCTGCCTTCACCTTCAACCCCAACAACAAATTCAGAAGAGACGTCCCGCCGCCACACCAGACTCCTATCATCATGATGAATGGGAGTGAGATGCCCGTCAAGACCGAGGCTCCGGCCGCGCCAACAGGGGTATGGACAACACCGACATCCCAGAGTAAGCGACCAAGGCCGGCTACTATCCACGAGGGCTTCTCGTTCTGTACCGGGGATGAATATGGAACGCTGCCTTCGTGGGACGTATCATCCACACTAGCCATGCAGACACCAAGCGACACCATGTCGCGACCGGTCTCCATGCACCAGGACTTTTACCCAGTGACGACTATGGATAACAGGGAGTCCATATGGGCGAACACAGGTTCCTCGCTGACCTATGGCGCAGACGTCTGGGGGCACAAGACATGTGAAGACAACCTGGAGATGCCAAACTTCGACAACGATATGCACATCGGGCAAGCCTATACGACAGACGAGGCGATTCCCATATTGGATCTTCGATACGCGAGCCAGCATATGGATCACGATTCGTCCAACTTCGAGCCCAGTATGAACCATCGCCGTATGTCAGGGTCTTCGTTCACCATGTCAACGACTGGGGGTCTCTCCGACATGCCTTCGTACGAGGACTTCTCTGCTGCTCTGTCAGAGGCACCATCTTTCACATCGGACTATCCGCCACTGTCGAACCGGAACTCGCTCATGTCTTCGACACAACTGTCACCTGTAGCATCTCCTCGCATGACGCCGCAGAGTCGCTCGGAGCTTGTTCGCACCCAGAGTCGCGGTCGTGGCGCCTCTCCGTCCCCTCGACCAGGCATGAGGTCCGCTCCCTACACCGTGGACAGCAGCTCAAGGAACAAGAGATGGTCTACCGGGTCGTATGGTACCACACCGAGCCGACGACCGTCGCCGTTTGTCTACAACCACACGCATGAAGCCTTTGGTGCCCGAATGTCATCGCGACACTCGTCGCCGATAATATCGAACAACCCACTCCCCTTGAATTTTGGCAACCTCCAAGCGGCCCAGCAGCATCCGTTCCTCATGACGCAACCTGCGCCTTTTCGCAACAGCATGCTACTGCCAACGCAAATGCCATCTCAAATGCCGCCACAGGGGTTCCATCACCACGACCCGCACCACTTCGAGAATCCGCCCCCATTGCTATCCCATGGATTATTCAGGATGCTGCAAAGCAATGCTGATCCTCATTCGCTGCATGGCCATTACACCGATCTCTCTGATCCGCCGGACCTGTACGCCTCTCTTCACGAGGAGCAGATCCCGCCGCCGCCCGAGGATATGAACCCGTCCGATCCGGACATGGTTCCCCACGAGCAAGAATTACGTTTTGAAGGCGATCTGTACACGCCGAGATGGGTCCGTGGCCACGGAAACAAGCGCGAGGGATGGTGCGGCATCTGCAAACCTGGCCGATGGCTCGTGTTGAAGAACTCGGCTTTCTGGTACGACAAGAGTTTCACCCACGGTATTAGCGCGGCGACAGGCAATCCGTTCCAGGAACCCCAGGAAACCAGGCGGATGGACGGCAATCCAGACGTCTGGGAGGGCCTCTGTGGCAGCTGCAACGACTGGATCGCGCTGGTCAGCAGTAAGAAGAAGGGTACAACGTGGTTCCGCCACGCCTACAAGGTACGCAATGACAAAAGTGCATTTCACCGTCCAATACTAATAGTGTTACAGTGTCACACCCATCCCAAGGTCAAGGATGCGCCGAAGAGGCGGCGCGAGAGCAGTCACTCGAGGGCTCTTGCGGCTTCATCAATGTCGAAGCCAAAGGTAGAACCACAACAGCAACAACCGATGACCCCTCAGCCGACGTCTGCGACCGTTTCTCTGGCCACAACGCCGACTCCGGGTCAAATGTCGGTCAACATGCAACAGCACCAGCATCAACAGATGGTCCAGCCAGAGCAGCTTCAAACGCAAGCGGGCTTTCCACCCATGGATGGATTCTCCAACATGATCTAGGAATAAGCTATTCCTGGGCAAGTCGACTCCACCTTGACGACAATTTCCTTTATGTCTAGACAGCAAACTTGGACGCGTCACGAAACCTTTCTTGGATTCTCACTGACGAAATGGAAACGGTATAGACAGGCGCAAAGGACTTTGGTCTGCCGGGTGGAGCATGTGGCGGCATTTTCACTCGCTCGTCTGCTCTCCAACAGCAAATGATTGCTTTCCGAACACACATGATACCACACCCTCATGGTCAAACTTATACACCTACTCAGCGGAGGGAGAGCCTGACGAAGGGTGGCGCCTCACGCCTCATCATCTACAGATTTTCTATGACCAGTCGCATAATGCGGCAAACCCGAACGATGATGACGACCAAAGAAATAGATATCGCTTCACTTCTCTGCGATATTCTCACCGAAGAATCGTTTTCAACCCGTCCCACTCGCAAAAGCCGCGGCATTCCTCGTCTTTTCCGGATTCTTTTTCTCCTTCATTGTTTATATACGCTATACAACCAACCGTTTTTCCTTACAGTCTAATCGTAGATAGCTAACTTTTACCTGATACCCCTGGAGCGGAGGATACGGGGGAAGAAGGGGTGAATATGGGAAGGAAAGGGGGGACCGGATCATTGATTGATGGTTTCCCATGCACAAAGATACACAGATACACAGCAACACGGATGGAGGGACAACTGGGATCATAGCCCTGCTGGGCAGCGGTGGATACCCACAGTCGATGGAGTTTTGCGAGTACGGAAGTGCCACTAGCTGGCCTCCAGAATTTTTCGCGATATCCGTAGCTCTAGCTAGATTACGATGAATGATTTCTTAAGTTTTGCATCACTTGCTCGCGCGGGAAACTCCCACTCCGTGTGGCTGAACTGCCTGCCCGGCATCTCGTACCGAGGAACGAGCTATGAATGTAGCGTCAAGACACTCCACAGGGACCACGGGGTCAAGTTGTCAGAGACTCGGTCCCGTCGGCGACTAGAAAGAAACCCTCACGCAGATCGAAACATCCCCGGACTTCTTTGGCATCCTCCTGGCCATGGAGTTGTTTCCTACCCTGCCTTGCCTTGTCTTGCCTAATAGCCATGATCCTAGGCTAGATCTACATGCTCGACTGTAGCTCGCCACATCCCCAAGGTCCCAGCTGCGGTAATGGTGTCGGGACCGAACCAGGGGGAGGCGCGACAGGCATCATCTGCCCGGCTGTCCGGGTCCAGTGCCTCAGGGCACTCACCAGTGACTATGCCTGCACAGCCTCAGTTCAAGGGGTCGTTCCCATTAAGCCCCTCCCGTTTCTGAAATCCGCCAGGCCACACGCCACATCGCGTCGCGATAGTTAAGGAGCAGCGACCAGGGTGCGAGGCAGCGAATTGGGGGCGCTCTCTCTCGGGCGGGGGGGGGGCTCGACGTAGGATCTTGGAGGTGAAAAGTCCTGTGCATAGGTACAGGTTTGAACATACTAGTATGATATGAAGTACGTAGGTACTCCATCCTGTGGCTGCTGGCTTCGAGGCTGCAAAGCAACGAACGAACGCATGAAGCTGGACCTCCGCGTAATCACGTTTCTCCAGCCAGCCAGCCACCCATCCTCCCTCCCTACCTACCTACTATGTATGTACCCAGATACCCTCGCTCACCCCGGATCGGCGTCATTGAGCTTGCCTCGTCGTCGGGGGATTTGTCGGGGATTTGTCGGGGATTTTTTTTACCCCCTTCAGGGAGCAGGTGGGTGGGTGGATTGACGATGGATGGCATCATTGGCACGCGCTTGCCCCTGCCCAGTGCCCACCCCTGGCTTGGGTTGCTCTGGAGTATGGGGTTGCACCACTGAAGTTGCGTTGCCCGTGAATATGCAGGACTATGCGTGCAGTTAAACTTAGAGTCGCGCGAGGCTTGATGGATGCCATTTGTTCTGCGAGACGAGCTGGAGCAACTTGCTCATCTAAAGGCAGCCAGCCGTCAGCAGTGCAACATAGGGGGCTCGAGTCAGAGGTAGGTAGTGGTCGCAGCAGAACCCTGGCCCTGGGCTTTTCGTCGTTCCGAGACGCAGCCCCTGAAATAATGTACCGTGGGGCTGGTCACCGACAGGGCATCAGCATCGTATCTCTTTGACATGATAAGATACTCTGACTTTGTGTTTAAACAAGAAGAAATCTGAAGTATTTTCTCGGTCGGGGGAGTGTCAGTCCTTCTATACTGGTACTTGGTAGGGCTCCCTGTCGAGACTAACCCCACGGTACATTATATCAGGGGTCGACCTATAGGGCTGCTTATCTGGGTCGGCGGACCTGCTTTGATCCCTGTCTGCAATCAACCGAGTCTTCGAGGCACGATTTTCTCAGGGGTTTATTTTTAGCAAGGTCCGTTATACACAGTATCATCTGCTCTGTCTGTGAAACGACGCGTCGGACGTGGTACGGTTTCCCTGCCTTCGGGGTTCCGAGTTCTCGATCCATCTGTGCTCACAAGGTAGGAGGAGATCTCTCCAACAGTTGTCCCCAAGTGATCTGAGAAAAGTCTGTCACCATGATGCACTGAAATAGGCAACGACAGTGGAAACGACAGCCGCACCAATGTGGGCAATGACAGCGGAAGCGACAGCCGCACCCGACATGGGTACAGTCAATCTGTCATGCTTCTGTCAGCTCAGAGAGTGAACTAGGTTGCGGTAAGCAGCCGCTTTCTTATTACCCGTATGCACGAACAGAATGAGTTCGAGCATGGTGATATGCTTCTTCGCCCTGTGGCAAACGATATGTGGCTGCAGCTTCATGATGTGATGGCGATGCGTTTGAACACATTCGACATGACTTCTCCGCGCTTGGTGGAAATCATCTAGAATGGCTTACGATCTGATGACGACCTCACTTCCAAACCTCTTGGATTTCTAAGAAGAACGATACGTTTAGACTCCGTAAGATACCTATTCTTGGAAGTGATATCACATATTGCCTTGTAGAGTTTGGCTTCAAGAACTGACGTCTCGGCAAGCCATGCCATCTCTCAACCTGCTGGCTTGGGAACCATGGAGTCAAGACCTCCGCGAAAGTCGTTCCTGCTATCACGCCGTCTTCATCTCTTCGTTTTTGTAGCATGATGATCAATCACCCTCTTACCAAGACGGAAGAGCTAATAATTCTCCAAGCATGTGATGTCTGTTTTTCCAAAGTCTGTATCGTTGGTAAGATATGACTCGTGATACCGTGGCCGTGATGCCGTGGTCATTGCACAGGCTGCTCGTCCGCTCGTCAGCGCCCTCTGCTTCATCCGTATCCTTCGCTTCGACGTGAGGGTTGTCGGTGCCTCGATCGCCAGAGGGCTTCTCGTCATTGGTGCGCATCCGGCGGGAGCTTCTCGTTTGCTTCTCGTGCTTCTCGTATGCTGCGGATGACCCCATCGTGGTCTTCATTGACTCGGCGCCTTCTCGGTCCATAACATATCATGAAGACGTTTGCAGTCTTTGTTCTGTCATCGCGGCGTGGTTTGCGATTTGGAGCCATACAACAAGTTCACCTCGTGTCTCTGAGCCAGCCAGCTAGGGTGCCATAGGTATGGTAGGTGGGTTGGTTGGTTGGTTGAAGTGTTCGACGTCTAGCAAGTGTCTTCTAGGACGATAGGACGTGACAAGCAGTCCGCCTGTATATACAAGCGGCTTCTGAAGCCAACTCGAGCCTCCAAAAGGGCGAGGGTACTATGGCGAAGTGTTCACTCTTTTCTGAACCGCGCCTGATGTGTTTCGGGGCTCCGAAGAGGCGACACGAAATTCCAACGTCCTCTACCGATGACTCATTAATTACATGCTCACTGAGCTATTTGATAGATCCGCTTACCCAAGGTCATCAAGAAAGGAGTCGTTTTATCGACTTCCAGTCGTGCCCGCAGTACGATATGTCACAGAGCCAGCGATCATTGACGTGGATGATGGCTCCCGCTTCGAACCGTGGCCGTCAACGACCTGCGAAACGACCTGCGTCGAACTGAGCCAACGAATTCAGAGCTCCGAACATCAATGCTAAGGCTCATAACGAGCTGGACCTACTCGGAGTTTCTGAGCGCAAGAACGCAAAATCTCGGCGCTCCGTCGCGGTCCTACCGAGCGAGAACGAGTATTACTTCTTCATGGAACCGGGTGGAAGGCCAATGAATGAGCCAGTACACGAGATGGTGGATATGATGGAGGACGATATGGACGGTGTGCAACGAGCCACATCCCGCGTGCAAGAGCTAAACGAGCTCATCAAGCGCGTGCTCAAGTTTCGCAAATACAACAGAGAATGACACAGATCACAGAAGTTCAGAGAAACCTAGACCGAGGCAGAGATCTGCTGACCCAAGAACGATCCAACCTCACGCGAGCCCAGCAGCGATGTACGGTGCCTACAATCAAATCAGCAAACCAGAACCACATTGTCATTGAATGGCAGCAATGAGCACTTACCAGCTTCGATATCGAGCAGCATCCAACTGCCGTATCGGCGCTTCTAGAATCCCTTTTTGGTGTCACTGCCCGGGTAGTAGATGGCCTGGGTCCAGGGCGGCGGTCTTGCCCAGTGGCGCCAGGTTTCGTAGACTTGGGCTCATTTGAAATGGCTGTGAAAGCCTCGTCCTCTTCTTCGTCCACCTCGTCAGGGAGTGGTCGGAGACTCAGCTATTCGTCGTTGATGGTTGATCGCATTGAAGGTGATCGGCTTGCTGCCTTGGCTCGCTCTTTAGTGTTTAGTACTCTCGTTGAATCTGTGGCCATGTGAGCCGAATCTTGTAGTGCCTGGCGACCTTTTATGTTAGAAGAGTTGAAAGCCCAGGAAGTCACTACCACGGTGAAATTGAGCAGACATCGACAGGAAACAGCGAATCGTAATAACCTCAGGGTTTACACCAGGCTATGCGGGACATTGTGGTTGGGAGAACTGGCGCTCTCGTTTGATGTAAGTACACATGGGACGTCTCTTTCTGCGTAGACTCATCCCATCTCGTTTCTCCGTCGCCACCTGAGATAGACTCGTTCCCAGTTGTGGTCTTCGTGGTGTTCGGCTCCTTGTTGTTCGTGGCTCCAACAGTGTTCGGCACGTTTCTATTCATGCTCCATTAGTGTTGGGCTCGATGCTGGTTGTGGCTCTAGCAGTGTTGGACTCGTTCTCCGTGGCTCCGTGGCAGCTCGATTACTGTTACACGACGGACTTCGTGCATCAACTTGAGCCTCGAAGTGGAATGAGCCAGGCCCGGACAGTCCGGATTCTGGCGCGCATTTCACACGCTGCCCATGAAGGACTTCTTCGAAGAGTGGAAAGCCAGGTTCGCCACTCTTGACTGGGTTGGCATACCGGGAAACCTGGATGACCGGGACTTGCTTTACCGGAATGCAAAGACTGATGTAAGTTGTTCTGCCAACAACTTCTCTGTCGAAGCCCAGTGGTATACGTACTTCCCCCAGCTCTATCAGGGATGCCAACATCCAGATGACGTGCCGGAGCCATCCGCAAGAAGTGATGGCACAGCTGGCTTTACTTGACCTGTCTAGAAGATTCGCGAGATTTACCGCGAGTATGGATGGCCGGATAACTTCAGGTACGAAGAGTGCAAAAGAGACGTCATGGAATGGGATTATGGGACGAGGTTCATACACCATCTTCCTCCTGTCTTGACAAGGCAACATGTTCCATCGCCTGTGACTAACGGCATCGGTATGGAGCTTCTTACCGACGACTACCACAGGGTTTGTCCATGACGTACCGTCATTGGGGTCGTTAGCGCTCACCAAGGTAACGTCTTGTGTGGTGTATCGAGCAATTCATGAGAGAACCAAACCTTGCGGCTCCTAGACCACTCGCCAGAGGATATGCCAGTCAACACGAACGTTTGACACATGAGCTCAACAACCAGCAGGGATGACCAACAGTCAGCGCGGTCTGTTTCCTCGATGCTCAGCAGTTCGTTATCCCAACACAAGAGAAGTATGAACTGAGCTCAATGGTCCGCGCGGGCTAATTATAAATGTCAGCGGGACCGTATTCCTCGCTGCGGCTCGGGATCTGAACCCGCCTATGAAGAAAAGCGCTTTTCGTGAAATCACCCACGAACCTCTCGGGTGGCGGGATACTCGAGGCATTCTCCTGCAATTATGTAGGTAGATACCTACCAATGTTGGAGCGGTTGGAAGGAAGCGAGTCGGACTATCAGCATAGCAAGCCCGACTAGGATCCGCGCTTTGCTTCCAGTTTCAACTTTCAAGGTGGAAGCTCGGACCAGAAGCACACAGCTGCCGAGACCCACCAGCCAGCCCGCCAACGCCGAATTCTTCCCCTTGGCAGTCCGCTACCGTTTACCTTATTTATTCTCCCTCTCTCCCGTTCCGAATGCCCGTCTCTCTCGCCCACTTGTAAGCTCAGACCGGCGACTCGATTGCAAGTGCGCAAAAAGGGACTAGTCACTATGGCGCCATCTTCCATTACGCGTCTCGCAGTCACTACCGGCATTCGCATTCACGCCGGGAGCGGCATTCGGGGGTTGGGTGGATCATGAGGCTCAGAGGCTCAGAGGCCAAGTGGCTCTGGGGCGGTGTGCCGAGGTGCTGCAGACTGGCATGGCTGGGTGCTATTTCAGGTCACGGAGACATTTCGATGCCACATCCGAGCGTTTCCTGTTTCCTTGGAGACACCTCGCGAGTCGCAAGCTCACCGCAGTCGTGGCTTTGGACTGTCGACGACCAATGGACAGACACCTGTTCGGACGGCCACGGGGCTGCTATGTATGATCGCCGAGGTTGTTTCCCCTCCAGAGTCAAACCTCCCCCCCTCGGAGTGGCGATTGGCGGCGTCTGACACAGTCAAGCGTATCAGAACGCACGCCCTTGAAATAGCACTCAGCAACGTTTCTGCCCTTTTGCAAACTCACAGAATCATGCCCCGCTATTTTCGTGTCTACTGTATCAGGGTGGGTGCACCGAGAAGGTGGCTGGGACATCTTCCGAGGCTTCGGGGCACGGATAGCCCTCGTATTGCTAGATTTGTCTTTGGGACCAACACTGAAGACTGGGGTCTCCACCAGTTCAAACTTACCGTCCAGCTTCGCTTCGGCCGCTGCTGGCAGTCGCGACGCAAGAGCTGGGGCGAGAACCGAGGGTTTGGGGTTTTCGACATTGCAGATTTGCAGAGCCGATTTCGCAAGACAAGTCTCTTTCACGATGATGGCTGACATTATCGGCATGGAGAAGACGACGTGTTGGTGACCGTCATGAAATGAATGTCTCTCTTGGTTTTGACCACTCGCGGTTCTCTCGGGACCAGATTTGGGCGAGTGCCCCGAGGCTGACGAGTCCCCAGTCGAGTCGACGACGACGTGTGAAGGACGCGCGTCAGCTTGCGCCAAGCCCGCCTTTCAACCTATCCGGTGACCCTTGACGTTGCATATGCTGGGACCGCCCACCATGGACAATGCCAAACCAGGCCACAAATACTTCGGGTCCTGACTCCTTAGATACTTCCCATCAGAGGCAGAAATACCTGACACTTCCAAGTACCTTGGCAGTCCCTCTGTGGCTCAGATATACATCATGCCAATCGCCAACCCTACTCGGCGACCAATGCCCGTGTTTCTGCCTCCCTCAGCCTTGCTAGGATGCTCCGGACTGCAAGCGAGTGCCGGCGCCTCTTAAACATTCTTATTTCTACCTTGACTTTGACCTTAAATCTCACTACTAGACCCGGCAGGCCGCGCACGAATGACGAATACGTTCCAACGTCCCGGATAACATCTCTAACGGTATCGAGCGGCATAAGGCAGACATTCACACTCCGACACTAGACTAATACGACAAACCAGCCACCTCCATGTTCAGGTTATAGCATACTGTGTGTTGCGGTCACACAGAGTCAACGGGCACGATAACGGTTCAACGGTTCGACGATTGCAATTCATTGTTCACAGTGATATCATTGGTCCTCATATTCATCATGAGGTCGACGACGATATTTGCCCTAGCAGCGGGCATAATATCTTTGCCGGCGGAAGCACGAAACATACCGAGTGTTCTTGGGAAGCCAAAGGTCGTCAGCATGTCCACGCAGAGGAAGCCCATTTCAAATCCAGTCAATCGGGATCGATTACGGCGGAGAGGAACGATACAGGCAGACTTGGACAATGAGGTCAGCATATGTCGCCGGCAGACTTGGCGCCTCCATTGCTGATTTTCGGTAGGAAACACTTTACTTCGTGAATGGTACTGTAGGGACACCAGGACAGTCTGTGCGGATGCATCTGGACACGGGCAGCAGCGACCTCTGGCTGAATACCGCCTCCTCGAATCTCTGCTCACAAAAGTCGGATCCGTGTTCCTTCGCAGGGACGTACACGGCAAACGACTCATCGACTTACGAGTATGTTGGGAGCTGGTTTAATATTTCTTATGTTGATGGCTCGGGGGCCAGTGGAGACTATGTGTCGGACACGATCACCATCGACGGATCGACAATAGACCGGTTGCAATTTGGAATTGGCTACGAGAGCTCATCCGGGCAGGGCATTCTCGGCATCGGCTACCCAGTTAACGAAGTGCAGGTCGGAAGGGCCCAGATGGATTCATACGAGAACTTGCCGATGAAGATGGTCTCGTCTGGACAAATTGCGACCAATGCCTACAGCCTGTGGTTGAACGACCTGGACGCGAACGAGGGCAGCATCTTATTTGGGGGAGTCGACACGGCGAAATACACTGGCAGCCTCCAGACGCTTCCAATTCAGGCGGACAATGGCGTTCATTCCGAGTTTCTGATTACCCTGACGTCAGTCCAGCTGGGCGATACCGCCATTGCCACCGACGAGGCTCTCGCCGTCTTACTCGATTCCGGGTCTTCGCTCACATACCTGCCTGACACGATGGTGGAGAGTATCTATGAGCAATTGAACGCCCAGTATGACTCGAGCGAGGGCGCTGCTTACGTGCCGTGCTCGCTGGCCGCCAACACCACAACCCTGGATTTCACGTTTTCCTCCCCCAACATCTCAATAGAGATGAACGAACTTGTACTGGATCTCGTCACCACGAGTGGCAGACGCCCAACTTTCCCCGACGGCGTCACGGCCTGCCTCTTTGGTATCTCACCGGCGGGCTCAGGCACCAGCGTTCTCGGTGACACCTTCCTCCGATCGGCATATGTCGTGTACGACATCGACAACAATGAGATCTCACTTGCGCAAACGAACTTCAACTCGACGGAGTCGAATGTTCAAGAGATCGGCACTGGTTCCACAATTCCGGATGCCACTGCCGTCACCAACGCCGTGTCGGCTACGGAGGGCGTGGCGACTAGCAGTGGCAATGGCGAAGCTGAACTAGGAGAGACTAAGAGTTCCGCGACGACGATGGTCACATCGGTATCTGCATTGTCCCTACTCGTATCTTTCGGGTTTGCGACGTTTGTGACGATGACTTGAGGACCTCGATTGTCCCACAAGACACATTTCATTATTTAAAGAGAGAGGACTTACCGGGGCATGACACCCCTGCATTTCAAGCATGGCAAGGCGTTTGGAGGTAACGGCAGGCCATGACGGCAGGGGACCATGTATCATGATCATTACACGAGCACCGGTATAGATGACCGAAGACTCCGGGGTTGGGCGCTTCATAAGCATTTGCATGCATCAGCCGAGGACGGCCTAGACTATATGGAGGTGGTCATACCAGAATAGCATAGAACCAGCGAGAATATTTTTTTGCCGGCGTTGAAGCATCAAATCAAAACATACATCTGTCAACTGCCTTCCTGTCATTCCCACTGACCACTAACCCATTGACTTCGAAGTATGCGATGGATGGGCCTGCCGCTGCTCACAGGAGATGTAGTGCCTATTCAACAGCTCGTATGACTCTTCTTGTCCTGCTGAGGTACGCCACGCTGCATGTAAGTATGGCCGGAGCTCATAGGAGGCTGTATCTTTGCTCTCGGCCCTCAAGCAGCCAAAATGACTGATGAACATGCGAACTCTAAAAGCAGCCCATGACATGGTCTCCAAGCCTCACATGTGAATGGCTTCAGACAGGTCCCAAAGGTGCCAATCAGAAACCAAGATCACGGAAGGCTGCGCGTGTTATAATATCAAACGCGCCCTTGAGCATGTTATGATATCCAACGGCTTTCGCGTGCACGTCACGAACCTTAAGCGATATGTCAGATGCTAATGCTGAAGATTAAAGGTAGTCAGTCAGTTTGCTGCCCATGGCGACTTCTTTTTACTTTTATCTCACTTGCGTCGTCGTACGAGCCATAAAGGGGCGGTCAACAAGCAGCAACTCAACCGTCCAATCTCAAACAAAAACTTCCCCCCGACACTACCTCACTGCACGAACGATGTCCACGATGCAGGGCATACAGCAGCAGCAACGACCCGGCCCCGTCCCCGACTGTCCGCAGGATGCGTCCGCGGCAAACGTCTGCCGCGACCCGCGCTGCGACCTCAGCGGCGTCCCGCCCATGCTGGACACGGACCAGCCAGACTCCCGCGCCCAGGCGCAGTTGTACGATAATTCCGAGCGAAATTCCGACTTGCGAAAGGTCCGCGACGCTATCCGCGCCCATTTCAACCTCTCGCCGGCGTGCAAGATGGTGCTGCTGCTCACAACACAGGTTAGTCCTCCATGGGCGGAGTCGTTGCTCTACATACCGTACCTCGCAGACACAAGGAGACTATTACATCTCCAAGCAACCACCACCTCCTTTTCCAAGACATTGCACCACTAACCGGAAGACACCCAGATCCCCGCCGGACCCTTCACGACCTACCAGGCCCTACAGGAGCACATCTACGAGTGCGGCTGGGGCCTGGTCACGATGAAGGATATCGGGAGATACCTCAAGCAGAACCCCTTCCCCAAACACGTCGCCTGCTACCGCGTCATGGGCTCGCTTGAGGTGTTCTGCTGCGCTTGCGGCAGGGACGGCGCGCACCCTCGTTACGGCGCGCAGGCTGGCGGCGCGCAGCTTGATGGCGGCGCGCAGCTTGATGGCGGCGCGCAGCTTGATGGCGGCGCGCAGCTTGATGGCGGCGCGCAGCTTGATGGCGGCGCGCAGCTTGATGGCGGCGCGCAGCTTGATGGCGGCGCGCAGCCTGGACACGGCGTGCAGCCTGGATACGGCGTGCAGCCTGAATACCACTTGCAGCTTGATTACGGAGATCACTGCGCTGACATGTACGATCACTACCTGCGCCTCAGGCGCGAGGGCGTCGAGATGGACGAGTCGGTTGGGATTCCGGCGGGTTTCTCCCCGTTTAGGGGCTTTGTGGGCTGCCCGCGGATTTGAGATCTGATGACGGGCCCGGCCCGCTCGCCGCCGGGGATTGAAGGGCGCCGTGGGTAAATTGTTTGGAACGATGTGGGCGAGATGCCCGACGCTTCCTTGAGATGGACGAATGTAACTTCATCCTGGGATATGGCGAGAAGGCGGCGAACGATTGGGCGTTACAGCCGGCGTATCGGCGGCCACGGCCTTGAGCGTTACCGACTCAAGGTGCGCACATTCGGGGTTTTGCTTAGGGGTTTTTTCTTGTTCCTACTGTCATTCTCAAGCTGTTGAATGGGAGCCGGAGATAGACACCGGAAGAACTCCAGTGGGCAGAGACGCACAGGGCATCTGACCCACCAAGAAGACAGATAATCAATCTCTGCACGCAGAGCAGAACAATCAATAGCATCAATCAACATCCGTGTATTCAACACAAGCAGTGTGTGGGTCCCCACTTCAAATCGCTGGCACCTCCCAACCTTTTGGGCTTGGTTGATAAAATCGACAAATGTACGTTTTTCACGGTCGCGCTTCCATTTTCACGTCGCACATGTCAATTCATACCATCCCTATACAGCCCTGTTTCGTCGCTATCTAAAAATGGTATGAAATAATTTGCGCGACGTTGGGATGGTAGTTGCAACTTTAGATAATGTATTTTTGTCTTTCTGTCAACTGGATTGCCGAGGCAAGAAGGCTATGGAGGGGTAATATAGCGAATATAAGAATAATAATTAATAACTAAGCGACTAAAGCCCGTATAATAAGCTAGAATATAAGTTTTAACCATACTTTTAAATGCATTATAATAAAAATTAACGTTGAAGAAATTACGTAATAAACGCTATAATAACTTTTAAAAAGATTATTATAAAATATAAATGTTAAATAACTTAATTTAAATGCTTATATAATCTAAATTTTTATTTTTACCGAAATCTTTATTAAGAACTGTATATTTTATATATATTAGCTTCCTTGATATGTCTTAAAATGGCTATAATACAGCTTGTTTTATCAAAAAGCCCGTTTTAAAAAAGTTGGGAGGTGCCAGCGATGTGAAGTGGGGACCGACACTCTGCTTGAGAATGACAGTAACATCTCACCCCCCCCTGCGGACCACCCCCCCACGGACCACTCTACACCACACCACTCTCATTCAGATGAAGCCATCTACAACCACCACAGTTGCTAAATACACTAAGGTCGTGGTGTTCTAACCATAATACAGCTCCTAGAATCCGATTCCGACCCTAAATCTTCACCAGGGACCTCTTATGGGACCTCTTTGCCTGCAGCGGAGTCCCTATAGACCCTCCTGTTCCTCAGCTCCATTTTGGCCTCCCTTATGTTAACCATTGTGACAAATCGTTCCCCTGGTGTTGGTTTGACTGCTTTTCGAGTGGTATTAGCCTTTTTAGCCACTTAAGCCTCAAGCAGCTCACATTTGGCCCGTAGATTTGCAATGAGAGCAGCCTGAACATCCATGGCCTTGCCAGCCTTCCGCACCAACAAGCGCTCAGAGGGCCCCCCAAAGGAAGGGTCCTTTCTTTCGAGCTTTTGAGCACTTTCCCGCAAAGCCCGGCTTCCAGAGGGTGTTGTGATAATGGTTTTAGCTACCATCTCGAGAAAATCTGGTGTTGTGGCTCGCTCGGAAGCCTTAGGGTCCCTCTGGCGTGCCCTGGCCACCCCCTTGTCCTCTAGAATCACATATTTCGACTTCAACGCCTCCGCTTTGTTGCGAGGAATAATCCCAGTCTTTTTCCAGGCAATTCTGATGTTGAGGAGCGTCATTGTGTCCTTCCAGGCCTGTTCGTAGCACTCCAAAACCTCCTCCTTAGATGGCCTGAGTCCCAGACGGCCGCTGGGCGTCTCCTGGAGTAAGGTCTTCAACCTCTTCTTTACCAAATTGAAGACTCCCACATCTAACATCTGGACTATATGGGAGCAGTGAGGTTCATAAAAGATCAACCATACTTTGTTTCTTAAGCAGGTGGCTAGGAACTCGTCATTCGTGTGGGAGTCGTGGCCATCACACACCAAAACCACCCATGTGTTGCTGTGGACCTCCCGAATGTGAGGAATAAAGATACGTTGAAGTCATTCTAACGCAATGGGATTCGAGGTCCATCTATTGGGCGACGTAATAAACCTCTAATCAGTGAATTTGCCCTCATTTTGGTTGCTAAACCACTGGGCTTGTACGTTAACCCCCTTAAGAATCACCAGCGGCGGCAAGGTCTCACCAGATCTGCTCACACACTCTAGGGCAGTTATCCATTCACCCTTCTCGACCCCTTTTTTCATAACCACGTTGCCGGAGGCCTCGGAGACCACCCAATAGGAGTCCCCAACCCCCTGGGCAATTCCCATTTCGTCGACATTGTACCAGCGTGCTGGCATGAGGTTAACCACGTCAGGGGCGTCACACCGATCGAAAAAAATGTTGATATTTGCCGCTATAGCACCATTCACTCGGTTATAATCGATAACACGAGACTTCATTATCTTGACTTCTGGGTTTCGAGACAGGAACTTGGATGCCTAATTTTTCCCTAATTCTCGGGCATCCCCGGTGGCATGGAGCATCCGCTGGGCCATGAGACGGAACTTAGAGACCGCCGGAGAATACCCTAGCCGTGCTTGCCCCAGGGCCCAGCTTGCCAGCTTATGTTCGAGATACGGTGAGAGAGCCTGTTGGAGAGCGCTGGTCTCATTCCGCGTTGGGGTGCCAGAGATTTGTCGGTTGACGTACGAGCGACTGATTTGCCATTCGAGGGCTGACGAGCGGATTGGAGCTCCGCGTTGGATGGCCAAAATGGCGGCTTCAGCTTTTATTTGACGGTCATAAAATGACATCATGAGATTCAGCAGTGGATAAGGATTCAAATAGTGTACTTTGTGAAAAAAAAGATGCAAAAGTGATGGTGTAGATGGTGGATCACCATAATCCTGGTGGTTGGTGAATTACGCGTTTGTGGGTCAGAACGCGCTGGTCCGCGGGGGGGTGGTCCGCAGGGGGGTGGGAGATGTTATTTAGGTTGTCCAGTCCATTTTCTCGGTTCTCAGACCGGTGGAAGTCTAGGACCCAGCCAGTATCAATATATTTAATTGCCACAATAACGACATCGTTGCCAATATTATCAACCGTCATTCGAGACAGTATTTGCTCCGTCGTATTGAAAGGCAAGTAACTATACCGCTTCATATAGAGGGTTGACTTGCAGGCCGGGCACAGGTTCGTACTATCATGTATAAACCCTCCACAACCGTACCGGATAACATCTTCACTCACGAGGGCCCTTTCCCTCCCAATGATCCCCATTCTCTGCTTGCCAACTGTCACCGTTCTCGTCGTCCCCGCCATCACCATTTTTGTCGTCCCAGTCGTCCCCCTGCTGATTCGGTGGCTGCGCCTGCTCATCATAGATACTTCCATTTGAAACAAACCTTGGCTGAACAACCGGTGCGTACAGCTCACAAGCCGCCTTGGGATACACTGGGCAACTCAAATACAGCCTCGTCAGTGACCACTCTCAACATGGTAACCAGGGGGCTTTCTCTCTCCGAGACATACATCAGTGCACATAGCCTGCAGCGCAGGGGGGGCCCATTTCGGCACGCTCATGGGCGGGGAGCAACGGTGGCTGAAGAGCCAGTTGAGCACCTGCACGATGTACTTCTGCGCCGCCTGATCAAAACCGAGGGACGCGCCCGACAGCACGAACTGCGTGTTGGTGTACTGCTCCTCGAAGTCGCTGATGGCCATGTACTTGTGCATAGGTACATGTCGGTGCTGCCGCTGTAAAGGTCTGCCACGCTGCCGTAGAGGCTGCAGCCGAGGAGGTACGCGAAGTACTCGTGGAGATGCGTGAAGAAGCGCCTGTTGCCCGCGGGCGGAATCTTATTACCATTTCGGCATTACCGGCGACTATGTGATTATGGCTGGCGGGAGAGAGGAATAGGGGCTGGGCACGTACCATTGGTTGCTATCCTGAGTGAAGGCAGTCAAGTTCTGCCGGAGGGCCGCGGGTCCGCCCCCATCCAGCCAGATGATGGCAACGCCGTGCCCGATGTCCTCCTTCAGGTTGGACGATGCGAGCTCCCCGTTGAAGTACGGCATCTGGTTAATCCGCTTGCCCTAGAACACACTCGGCCAGATGACGCCAGGGACGTAGACGTCGACATTCGGGGTCGTGTAGTTGCCGACCATGCCGTGTTGACGAAGAGCGTCATCAGGAGGGCCTGGTTGACGAGCGTGTTTTCGCCGAGGATGCTGGTTGTGTACTTGTCGCAGATGGAGTACTCGTCGTCCCATCCGGGGCCGCCCTGGTCCGAAACTCCCCATGATCCCGCAAGGGCATGGAGGCCGCTCAGGAGCGAGGCGGATGCGAGGAGGATGGAGCTGCGCATGGCGAATGATGGACGACTATCCGTTTAAACTTGCGTATGAGGATAACATGAACTTTTCTCGAAATGACCAGCTTTTATGTAGGTCGTCCATCTCAGAAAGCTTGGAATAGATCATCATGGAGTTCGAACCTCTCCTCCTTTCGAACGCGGTCATCATGGCGCAATCTTCAACTCAGCTGTCTCTTGATCAGTCCCCATGACTAGATTTTGTTACGCGTACCCTCTCAATGGCGGTACTGACGTCGCTGGATTCTCCTCAACTGAGACGGGATGGGATGACCTTGGATCGGGAAGGGAATGCATCCACGCGGGCTTGGTCCTGCGAATGAAAGCGAGCTGTGATACATTATTTGCTGTCACATTGAGGCATGCAAATTCTATGTGCAAGAGTGTTGAAGTTGGTTTAATGTTGGATATAAGGTGATCACGGGCGTCTCGTAGGTCGATTGAGCTCCGGGAGGGCCTCGGTCACCGACTTGCGCATCAGTAGTCGCATCCCATATGTCACTGTCATCCGTTCAATATTCATGCCCATCTCCTCATTCCTGACCTTGCCGCTTTCTATAACACATGACCGGTATCGTTTCTACTCTCGAGGGCTAGCAACCAAGGCAGTACCGAACTATGAGACCTCAATATGTATCGTAGCTGTCTGTCGATACCTAGAGGCAGTACTGCAATCAATTCTTCGAACGGGCTATGCGACCTTCCCTAGCTCGTCCTCTTTTGAAGATTTGCATCCTCTGTCAAGGTACTCAACTCATCAAACTGGAGAGCATGACTTGACACTTGAACCCGTACGTGTTGTCGGAAGAGTCTATCGTATCGTGTTCGTTCATCCAGCGGTGAAATAGTCTTGCATAGTGCCAGTCGCTTGATCGCGGAGGGATCCTCTGCAATGCATCCCGGTGAACTGTCCACGCGGCGCAATGTCATCCTGACAGATAGTGTCTTGCGCGTGTTCAATCCAGCGCCCCCAGACTCTCAAAGTGCCTTGTCATCTTACCCAGAAACCTTTTGGTCTCGCATACAATGGGAGTCGCCAGAAGCCATTAACGGTCAACAAGCGTGATTGAGAGATTAGGAGCCAATTTCAATGTTTTGATTGAACCATAACCACCACTGGCAGAGTTTACCCTTCTCCTCTAGGTGCGCTTGTATGCAAATCACACTCAAGGCCGACAGTGCCACAATCAAAACAGGGGGCGATATTACAGTCCTCGGAGCCCCAGCCCAGCCACTTAGTTCTGGGACCAACGTGCTCATCCATTTTAGGATGAACATACGCCATGCCGCTCCTCGAGGCTTGATTTTGCCGACGACCTGCGTCAATATCAGCTGCTGACGTGCTAGCACACAAGCCAACAGCGAGTGCACGCTACCGTAGTCATTGGCAAAAGCCACGATATAAAGAATCGAGTATAATGCCGTCTCACGGAGGCAGTGAGTTCCATACATCTCTACTTCGATCATGCCTTCTATAGCCAGAATCGCATCTCGTCGTACTGGGCAATAACGTGCGTAAGCTGCGTTAGGCCAGCGAGAAATATGGTACGGGGCCTTCTTCCAGAAAGTTGCCCTGGTGGGCTCAAGCTATTCATTCGATCTTGGCTGTGTTGTCTTATCTTGTCAACTGCTCGTTAGGTAAGAGGGGTCTTGGTAGAGCTACATTTTTTTTAATACTTACGGAATATTCTTACCTAATGTAACTTCGGGGCGCAATGCAGCCGAGTAGTCACTCAGTTATGTACACTTAGGTACCTCACGTGGATGATAAGTTCCTGAATCGAGGCGACGGTCATCTGTAAATGCCAATACAGACACACTGACGCTTCTGTTTGAGTTTTTTACCTCGAGTTGCTGTGAGTTCCTCCATGAGAGATGATGTCCTTTGAACGGGGCACGAGGCCCAATTCATGCCAACGGGCAAGACCATTCACATTCTCAACTGATCGTTCGTCGTAACACCACACGGCCTTCATACCTTTAGTTGTCTACGCCGGTTTGTATCCCATTTCTCTTCCTCGTTACTAAGTTGGAAGATGTGACGTGTCCAACGTTCTGCGTGAAATGAACACGGTATGTTAAATGCGTAGATCTACAACGGGATGTTAATGCAACAGGGGAAGATGGCGTGTCGGATAAATTGGTGGCAATGAAGGGCAAACTTGTTCACAGCCCGAATTTAGCCTATGGCGCTTGAGGTGGCTCCCGTATATTGCGCAATCTCTAGACTCCGCGGCGGCAGAGCGCCCCAAGGGTGGTACATGTCAACCAGAGTGATGCGAGAGGCATCAGCCACATTGAGATACGCAAGGATGTTATGGACTCGTGAGCCACTAGAAGAGTATCCTGTAGGAAGAAGCTTTGCACTAGGGTTCGTCGAGAGAGATACTAGAGGCTGCCGAGTTACGATTTGCTGCATTGATCGACCATATGGGTTGACTCTCAGTGGTGATTATGTAATTATGTTGCTGTGAAACGACTGTCTAAAAGATATGATATGTCCCTTGTGGACTTCGGTGCCATCGTAAGATGGATCCTGCAGGAACTTACTCACGTTTTTTCTCAAGTGGTTCGTATCGAAGGTCTGTTCAGTTGGTCAGATAGTGGGTGGTCTGTGGATGGTATAGAAGGTCTGATAGTGTGTGAATTCGTTGATATCTGTGTGAAAATGAAGATATCTAACCCTATAAAGGGGTATATCTATCTATATATATACACACTACATATTAAAGCTTCTTCGAGACCGAATAAGGGTCGAAGGATGTTACTCTGTACCTTTTAAAACCGAATAAAAGGGTAACCTGATTTTACCCCTTTTAAGTTTAATATAAGTTATTTTAACTGTCATAGTCTGGTACAGGTAGCCCATGTAGTGAGTCCTGGAGCCCGCACATGAGTACATGTACCACCATTGAATGTCAAGCTGCCACGCTTGATATTCGACATCCTTTTGGGAGGAAGAGCCGTGACATGGTGGTTATGGTGAGCGTTCCGTCATATTAACCCCTTTTCCTAGGTTTTTTTACACTAGTATAAAAATCAAGTATTATTAGGTTTTATAATTATCTATTACGTATTTATAACTTACATGCCTTTTTAACTATAATACGATTAGTTATTTTAAATTATAAAAGAAAAATATATAACTGCTTCAAATACTATTAAAAAAAACTTTAACGTATAAATATAAATATATATATATATAACTTCATTATAAGCTTATTATTATATTATATATAACAAGAAATCAAAACTCCGGTCAAAAAAACTGTAAAAACTATTATTATTATTATGTTTATTTAATGCCCTTTAGGTCTTAAAACATTAAATGTAATAAAAAGTATTAATTTTTGTTGAAAAAATCTATTAAGTTATTTTTAATAAACATATATATTATTCGTACTTGTCACGTTCTGTATAAGGGTTGTTGATCATAAGAGCTCCAATTACTATATATGTACGAAAATCTCTTAGTAGAGAGAAGGGAAAGAAGATCAGGTCCCCTAGCCAAATTGGGTGGTGTAATAGATCTGTGCGACCAGCTCCACAACGCTCACCTTTTGGAAGGGGACAACGTTGGCCAAGTCACGTGACGTGCACATGACAAGGCCCTGATAGTAGCTGCACCATCACAATACTTGACTTTTATATACATCTCTTTTTCAATAATAACAACCTATATTTATATAATTTCCCGGTTTATAAAAAAACAATAATTTAACTATCCTTTTAAGTACTTAGTTATTAATTAATATAATAAAGATATTTACAACATAACTCAAATTTACGGCTTTGTTTCTAAAAAAAACATCTTATATAAACATATTAACATTTTACCTATTCCTTTTAAAACAACATATTCCGCTTTAAATAAAAATAAAGCTATATATTTTAATAGTTAGAAAATTCAACAGATAACGTTACCAGAAAAAATCTAAAAACTTATTGTATACCTATTTATCAAAATTTGGTTATTTATATGATTTTCTTAACTAACATTAAAATAAGCTTTTTTTTAAAATAATTGTTGAATCTATGTAATCCAACAGTCAAACCATCCATACAGAACCCACATGTATGATTAGATAAGAGATTAGATACCAGATTGTGAGGTCACTTAGCCAGACCTGCAGGTCCAGCTAGACTTCCCAATCCAACCATCAGCAACATCATGACCTTGACACCATACTCGAGTATTATGATTGATCGTTCAAGCCTGTTCCCACAATAATCATATTTAAATCTTTGATTAGAAAAACGTTTTCAATAACCATAAATATTTTTAATTCTTTAAAATAATTGAAACTTAGCTTAAACATATATCTTGCTAGTTAAAATAATAATATAACAAATACTACGTCTTAGTTTTAATATTAAAGATAATAAAAAACCAATTGACTACTAATAATAATTAGTACTCTAAAAAAATTATATTTTTAATAAAATTTGTTTTAACTGTTTTAATATATCGGTTAACTACATACTATTTGCATATTTATTTTACAATTGATTTTAATATTTAGTTTATTTAACCGTAACGGTCTTTAAATACATAATTTACAGTAATTTTATTACTTAAAAACTAAGTAATCAAAACAAAATCTTATTTTCATATATTATATCAAAAAAAGGTTTGTTTAGACGGAGAAATGTGCGAGTGGACGTGCGCGAATTGCGAACTGCCGTCCTGAAGGAGCTTCGATGGTGACAACCTCAGCTGACGCACTAATTAAATGTCATGTTAGCTCACCTTGGGAACGCGAGATACACTCAGCCCTCATAAGTCTCTGTACGCGCATGTTGGCAAGATTCCAGACCACCGGTAGCGTAGTTAGAAATATTGGAATAAGCGCCTTCGAATAAGCGTCAAGCATGGTTGATCAAAATCAAACTGCTTATTGCGGTATGCTCATACTGATTTGATGAATATACCGTTGCTTGCTGAAAGGGTCGTGTACGGAGACTTATGAGGGTTCAGTGTATGCAGATATGTT